TGAAAAATATGCCACATTGGTCTTTTAGATTCAGAAAAGGCCTTTGGCAGTTTGAACTCAGCTTTCTTGTTCAAGATTTTGTAAGATATAAACTTTGGGTAGAACTTTATAAAATGGATAAGATTGATTTACACTTCACAGAAAATATAAATAATTGTTAATGGAGATCTAATGAAATCCTGTGAGATACAAAAAGGACTAAGGCAGTCTCCTTTTTCCTTTCTTTTTTATTTTGGTTCTTGAAATATTGAATAGAGATATAAAACAAGAGTTTGTGGGAATAAAGATTAAAAGAGAAACATAAGTTGGCATTTTGCAGATGATTTGGTGTTGGTTCTGGAAGCTCTTTAAAGGAATTGAAATATTAATAGACAAATGTAAATAAGTTTGTGCATTATCAGTTTTAAAATTAATAAATAGAAGATCATGCGAACAAAAATGTGAAAATAGAAGATCAAATTATTGAAGAATAAAATGGGTTTTAAGGTTGAAAAGAAGGTATAATATCTGAGTAACACTATGACAAATATGAATTGTGTAGAGACTTGCCTCTCCTCTCTCCTCAAGAAAGCAGAACTCTTGAAACAAATAACATTTCAAAAGGAAATTTTTATTGGGAGATAGTGATAGCAAGAAGAGTAAGGCAGGATCTGAAATTCCACACTCAGAGCCATTAAATGTTGCAGAAACCCCTCCTCTAGGTCCAGTCTGAGGCAAGCCAATCCACAGGTGCGAAGTTGTTGTGAGAACTTGAGCTGACAAGGTGATAAGTTGTTCTCAGGTGCCATTTTGCTCATTCCTTTGGAGCTGAGACAAAACAGATGGCCCTAGGCTTATCCCTCCCCTCCCTTTCCCAAGAAGGTATATCAAAGTGACAGAAATAGAAAAAGGTTGTAAAGGAGCATCCTGTCCCCCCACCCCCACCCCCGCCAGAATGGCAGTGTCCTGATAGGGATCTATGGGGACCTGACAGAATCGTGTGTTATAATTATGTTAAAACATGAAATGAATTTTAAAAAGACATGTTAAGATGTGAGAAATGACAAGTGTCATTGCTAGAGAGAAATTCTGTGATAAAAATGAATGTCTTGCCTAGAATGATATTTTTGTTTTAGACAATAGTGTTAACAACTGATGGACTATTTAAACAGTGTCAGAGGGACATATCTATCTGTGTCAGGGGGAAAATGTGAATTAAATACAAGGTGTTACAAGATATAAAGAAAAGAAGAGGATTGAGATTACCTGGTTTGAAATTGTATTTTGCAGCTTGCTATTTGGTTTTGATGGAAGAGTGGGTGTTGCCGAGACATAGAAAGTTTCTGGTTTTAGTACAACATAACCTGAAATTTGAGTATTTGTGATACAATAAAGTTAAGGCATGCTGTATTGCGTATATAGAAGAGATGCAAACTCAGATTGTGCCAGAAATTAGCTTTGTGACTAAGGGCTATAGCTGTCAATGGTCTCTTATTTACAATTATTAGAAGGATTTAAAGTAGACAAATGAATTTATGATTTTGAACATTGTAAGACTGGTCTTGAAATAGAATTGTAATTGAACATGTAATTGCTAAAACATATAAACTTTTATTTTAATTTGAAACAGAAGAAGAACATGTGAAAAAATGTTTGCTAAAATGTCTAAAATTTGTTATACGGTTGGATCAAAGGGAAAATATGTCTCTGGAAGGATTGAAATACAAACTATATTATAATATTAAAGAGATGTTTAAATAAAATTATTGATTGTATATGTCACCAGATAAATTGTCTAGAATGTATTAAAGTACCTCAAATTTATGTTAGAAATATGAACAGCAACTTTTGTTTGATTTACCTGTTAAATAGCTAGAAAATTCTGGATTCAAATATATATAGGTGAAACTCAAAAAATTAGAATATCATGCAAAAGTTCATTTATTTCAGTAATGCAACTTAAAAGGTGAAACTAATATATGAGATGGACTCATTACATGCAAAGCAAGATAGTTCAAACTGTGGTGTGGCATAATTGAGATGATTATGGCTTACAGCTCATGAAAACCCCAAATCCACAATCTCAGAAAATTAGAATATTGTGAAAAGGTTCAATATTCTAGGCTCAAAGTGTCCCACTCTAATCAGCTAATTAAGCCATAACACCTGCAAAGGGTTCCTGAGCCTTTAAATGGTCTCTCAGTCTGGTTCAGTAGGAATCACAATCATGGGAAAGACCACTGACCTGACAGTTGTGCAGAAAACCATCATTGACACCCTCCATAAGGAGGGAAAGCCTCAAAAGGTAATTGCAAACGAAGTTGGATGTTCCCAAAGTGCTGTATTAAAGCACATTAATAGAAAGTTATGTGGAGGGAAAAAGTGTGGAAGAAAAAGGTGCACAAGCAGCAGGGATGACCGCAGCCTGGAGAGGATTGTCAGGAAAAGGCCATTCAAAAGTGTTGGGGACTTTCACAAGGAGTGGATTGAGGCATCAAGAGCCACCACACACAGACAGATCCTGGACATGGGCTTCAAATGTCATATTCCTCTTGTCAAGCCACTCCTGAACAACAAACAACGTCAGAAGCATCTTACCTGGGCTAAAGAAAAACGGAGCTGGTCTGTTGCTCAGTGGTCCAAAGTCCTCTTTTCTGATGAGAGCAACTTTTGCATCTCCTTTGGAAACCAAGGACCCAGAGTCTGGAGGAAGAATGGAGAGGCACACACTACAAGATGCTTGAAGTCCAATGTGAAGTTTCCACAGTCTGTGTTGATTTGGGGAGCCATGTCACCTGCTGGTGTTGGTCCACTGTGCTTCATTAAGTCCAGGGTCAATGCAGCCATCTACCAGGAGATTTTGGAGCACTTCATGCTTCCTTCTGCAGATGAGCTTTATGGGGATGCTGACTTCATTTTCCAGCAGGACCTGGCACCTGCCCACACTGCCAAAAGCACCAAAACCTGGTTCAATGACCGTGGGATTACTGTGCTTGATTGGCCAGCAAACTCGCCTGACCTGACCCCCATACAGAATCTATGGGGCATTGCCAAGAGAAAGATGAGAGACATGACACCGAACAATGCAGAAGAGCTGAAGGCCTCTATTGAAGCATCCTGGTCTTCCATAATACCTCAGCAGTGCCACAGGCTGATAGCTTCCATGCCCCGCCGCATTGAGGCAGTAATTGCTGCAAAAGGGGCCCAAACCAAGTACTGAGTACATATGCCTGCTTATACTTTTCAGAAGTCCGATATTGTTCTATGTACAATCGTTGTTTTATTGATTGCATGTAATGTTCTAATTTTCTAAGATTGTGGATTTGGGTTTTTCATGAGCTATAAACCATAATCATCACAATTATGACAAATCACAGCTTGAACTATCTTGCTTTGTATGTAATGAGTCTATCTCATATACTAGGTTCACCTTTTAAGTTGCATTACTGAAATAAATGAACTTTTGCACGATATTCTAATTTTTTGAGTTTCACCTGTATGCTGTTTCAGAGGATTTTAAAGATTAATAAACAATTAAGATTAAATGTTTTTCTTTTGGGATTGATGAACAAACAATTGGAACAAGTCATGAAACTTTGTGATATGATAACTGCAGCAAGTTGCACAAAAATAGAAAGATTTTGCATTACCCACAATTAGTGAAGATGATGGAACTGGCTGAGATAGCTAACCTTTGATCAGAGAAAAGACAATATGTTTATTGCTAATTGGAAACATAATATAGACTTTTTGTATGAAACAGAAAAAATGAACTTATGATATATGGTTTTGGTTATTAGACAAGATAGATCAGTATTTCTCAACCTTGACAGCTTTAAAATGTGTTAGATGACAATTCCCAGAATTCTCCAGCCAGCATGCTGGATGGGAAATTCAGAGTGTTGAAGCCCGCATATCTTAAAGTTGTCAAGGTTGACAAACACTGAGATAAATTATAAAAACAAGAGCTCTGTATGACTCATAAAGTAGGATATACATTTATATTGGTATTTATAACTTTATATTGGTATTTATAGCTTTAAAGAAGATAGGAAACTACTTCTTTGTATGTTTTTCTTTCTATTTTTCTATTTTTACTTTTTCCACCTTTGTTCCACTTTTAGTTTTCGCTTTAATTTTTTCTTTCTTTTTATTTTCTTTTTTAAACTTCATATTAATTTGAATTAGTTTTATATTCCCTTTCAAAAAAATATTCACTTAAAATTATACCAATTATGTTTATCTCTACTTAAGTCAGCATTATTTGATCATTGACCTACATAGGCAGTTATTACTAAGAGGAGCTGTCCCTTCAGCACCAGAATACAGTTGTGTAAGAACTGGAATGCAAGGTTGAAATAATAGTGTGGAAAGTATATATTATTTTGACAAGTTTGAGATGAATTTATGAGTTCTCAACTCACTCAGCATTGTTAAATCGAGGGCTAAATTAGCTCAATATTTTTCTCTATATTTCTTCTCAGTTTATGACTTCACACTCTTTTCCTAAATTATACATTTATTTTTAAATACAGAAATAGAATTTAAAACTTAGAGTAATTCAGTCATCAAAAATCCCAGTATGTGTCTCTTTATTTAAAAGAATAGGAAGAAAAATGCAAAATTAAATAAGTGTATAATAAATGTGAAGAATATTATCAAATGTGTAAAGTCACTTAAGTAGGAAAGCACTAAATAAAGGGAAGGCATTCATATCAACCTGCCTCCCTGCATATATCAGCTGCCGGTACTTCAGTCAAAGTGGTACTATGATGACAGTAACCAACCAGAATGTGTCATGCAAATTAGAATACTGTATCATGTACCAACTGCTGCTAGCTGGTTGTTATAGAGATAAACTGAGGCCTTGCCTCTTGGCTTCTTCTTGAAAGAAAAACCTTTAATTTCTCAAAGGAATGAAAAGAAGAGAAGGGGAGAAGGTGAGGGAGAGAAAGAATTACATGAGAAAACATTATCTGGCTGAGAAGAGAATAGCAGAAAGTACATCATCACAAGAAGCATTCACTGGCCATGCCAGTGCTTGCAACTAATGCTGAGTCAGAAACAGGTATCCCAAAATCCTTTTCTAATGAGCTTCTTTCAGAAATCATGGAGGAGATAGAGCACACATGTCCTCAGCCTCAACTGGTAAGTAAAAGACAAAGGATATTTCTTTTTTCTTTTATGCCATTCTTGAGCTCATTGCATTATGAGATTATAGACTAATCCTGCTTTGTAGTCTGAATAGAAATATAAAAAGGAGCTGATATGTGTTAACTCTATGTTTGCTTTCTTTATTACAAGAATGTGGATTACAAAGCAATTATTGTGCTTGCTGCATTCAGAGAGAGAATCTGGGATTGTACTGTGTTTCTGCAACCAGGCTTTTTTCAACAAAAAGTCCATCTAGCTCTACAGTAGGCTTTTCCTCTAGCCTTTGTTAGATTTGCCACAAAACTTAATCCTTGTCTATTAATTTGCATTTTTACTTATTAAAACAAATTTGCTTAGACACAGATTTTCACATTAATTTTTAAAAAGCCTACTCAGAGAACATCGGGAAAGAATATCACTGTTCACTCTCTTTTTTCCAGAGATGCAGCTAAACTGTATATATAAATCATCTGAAACTATATATGTCACTTTCAGGTAGTTCAGCACATTTGAGCTGGGAGAGTTATCTTAGGAGAAAATCTGCATTTCCTCAGTAATTTACGTATTGAAGCAGTACATATAAAAAAGCCAGTTGTGTATAGAATATAGCATCCTTTCCTCACTGCCTGACATGTCTTAAAAGTAGATTTCATTCATTTTTATTGGCATAATTTTGCATATACATTTTCTATTAAAGGAAACAGCATTTTCTAAAAAGTAGAAAGGATAAGAGTTTGTTCGGTTCTTTGTTCTATTAGCTTTGTGTGAGCTTCCATAAAAATGTATTAAGAATTTGCATGAAAGGAAGTGATCGTTTTAGGAGATAATGAGATTTGGAAGATGAACATACTGGTAGTTTTTCCTGATTTATATGTCTGGGATGAGTAGATCATCTCTAAAAGTAAGGAAACAGTGCTAAGCTTACTTCTTTGAAAGTAAATGTAATTAAGATTAATGGCCCAGTAACTGTGCTCTCTATAATAACAGAAATTACAAAAAACAAATATAAGGGGGGTACTAATGCCACTTTATAAAGCCTTAGTAAGACCACATCTAGAATATTGCATCCAGTTTTGGTCACCACACTGTAAAAAAGACGTTGAGATTCTAAAAAGGGTGCAGAGAAGAGCAACCAAGATGGTTAGGGGATTGGAAGCTAAAACTTACAATGAACGGTTGCAGAAACTAGGCATGACTAATCAAGTGAAGAGAAGGACCAGGGAGACATGGTAGCAGTGTTCCAATACTTGTGGGACTGCCACAGAGAGGAGGGAGTCAAGCTATTTTTCAAAGCACCTGAAGGCCAGGCAAGGAATAATGGATGGAAACTGAACAAGGAGAGTTTCAACCTGGAAATAAGGAGAAATTTTCTCACAGTGAGAGCAATCAAACAATGGAACCATTTGCCTTCAGAAGTTGTGGGAGCTTCATCACTGGAAGCTTTCAAGAAGAGACTGGACTGCCATCTGTCAGAAAAGGTGTAGGTCTCCTGCTTGGGCAGAGTGTTTGACTGGATGACCTACAAGGTCCTTTCCAACTCTGTTAATCTGAAAGATATCATTTTCTCCATTGTGGAAAAACTTTTCCTATTCTAGATAGCAGCTAACTGAGAAAGCAAAACTCAGAACAGCTTTCTATAAATAGGAAATAGTTAATGTTTTCTCACTCAAAAATAAACAATGAACTTAGCAAGTAACTTGCTTTAGGGCATTTTTAAATATTAAAATCAATTTTAATACATTTTAAAAACCATTAGGGGCTCATAGCATATTATAGATAATACATGAAAACTTATTATTACCATCTAAGTATCTTGTTATTTTGTTAATAACATGGGGAAAGCTATTTGAACTGTTTCCTATGTTAATTATTATAAATATATTCCTATTGAAATTTGTGGCAAAGGTAAGGGTTTTAAAACAATTCCTCTACTTAAAAAATAACATGGAAGCATTATATTGTTATGAATTCTATAATTTCATGAACAGTGTAAGAAATTCAAACTTCTAAACTTATTAAAGAATTCTAAACTTAGTAAATCAAAGATATAAACATTGTTTTAGACAGTTTATAAAACTCTTATGCTTCCAAAATGCATTTCTAGGAAAGTAGTTATATTAGTCTGTTACAGGAAAAACAGCAATTTTAAGATTAGCAAATCTATTATTAATAGATGTTGTGAGACTTAGTACATTCTATGAATTTAGTGAACAATGTAGTCCATGAAAACATAACCTATAAAACATTTATGTAATAACTTTATGGCAGGATTATATGCATTACTGCATATCATCAATCTACAGAAATATAGAAAGTAAAAGGCAATCCTAGTTGATTCAGCTCCTACATTTTTTTTTCAGGAACACCATGGAAGTGGTTTGCTATTGCTTTCTGCATTATTTTTTCAACTTCACAATCTAACGGCAACTCTTGAATTCACTGATAGTACTTGTTTAAAGTATAAGTCAAGCTTATCTTTCTGAGCTTCCAACCAAGATCATAAAATTACTGTCACCTATTGAGATATGTAAGATAAGACTATTTCTATTGCAGGGACAGATATGGAAAAATATAATGGCAAGCATTTTGAGATGGAGAAAACTGTTCTAGCTAAAAAGAATAGCAAGAGTAAAAATGAATATTTAGCAAAGCATAACATCCTATTACAAATGATTCCATTAAGAATTACAAGCAAAGTATTAAATGGATGGCAGAAGCAAATAACTAACTTTAGTCAAAAGACACAATTAAGTCTAAAACCTGGAATGTCGGGGCAGATTGGCAGTATCAATGTCAAATTGTATAATCAAGTTCTGTAACAAGGATTATTAGCTAGATAAAATCATTTTATATCTACATTGCTTCTATCAAAGGAACAATATTTTGCAGTTTTTGCATACTGAATCCCTCTACCAAGGATATTGTATATTTTTATAAGAGATTGTTATAAGCAACATATTAAAAGCATGCAGAAGAGGAATTAGCCCAGACTTATCATTTCTTTCTTCAATATTAAATAATTATTTTCATAAAGGTGAATGTACAAAAAGTGACCAGTATCGTTTATCCTCTATTTATAACCCCAATAGGAACAGGAATTGCCATTGCTAAGCAAGGTATTAAGTTAGTCACACCCAATTTTACAACCTTTTTGCCACCGTTGTTAAGTGAATTGTGGTTATTAAGTGAATCTGGCTTCTCTCGTTGACTTTGCTTGTTGGAAGCTGACGGGGAAGGTCACAAATGGTGATCATATGACCTCAGGACACTGCAACTATTGTAAATACATGTTGATTGCCAAGTACCAAATTTTGATCAGGACTGGTTGCAAATCATTTTTTTCAGTGCCATTGTAACTTCAAACAATCACTAAAGTAATGTTTGTAAGTTGAAGAGTACTTTTAGAGAGATGATAATTTGTACAAACTGTAAGACTTAATTTTTGACAAAATAAATTTTTATTTTATTTATTTATTTTATTTGTTTTTATTTGTCATTACACTCGCAAGCGGGTGCAACGAAATGAGGTGCTCTTCCACAAGTAAAACTGGACAACACTATTGAAAGAAAAATAAAATTAAACACAACAGACCATACAATAATCTCTATACAATTTAAAAATGTAAATACCCCATTACTCTCAGCCATTAAATTCCACAAAATCTTATGACCCTGCATTCAAACTCAAAACTGCACTTGGATAAAAACTGTTCTTAAATCTAGTCGTCCTTGTTCTTAATACCCTGAATCTCCTTCTCGATGGTAATAGTTCAAAGAGCTGATGTCCCGGATGAGAGGAGTCATTCAATATATTAAATATCTTCCTCTTACATCTATTCCTATACCGTTCTTCCAAGAGGGGAGTGAGCAGCCAATGATGTTTTGGGCCATCTTAATCACCCTCTGAATTGCCTTTTTCTCTGCCACTGTGCAGCTCGAGAACCATACATAAAGTTGAAATATTTTGAAATTCTTTCTTCAAAATGGTCAGAAATGCCTTTACAATAGTATCTCCAGATAAGAGGCATCATTCAAAAGAATTTCAAAAAGCAAGGTAGACCTGATGAAATTTTAAAAACTTCCAATACAAAACAATAGCTGAGACTTATTTATAACTTGCTTGTAAACTATGACTTAGAAACTGAATGATATGCAATTGTTTAAATTATTTAGATTTAAATAGAACAATTGATATGCAAAAATGTGAACATCAATGAAAGACCATTATTACATTTGCCATAAAAATCATAATAGAACAAGGTTTTTTATATTTGATATATTGTTCCTGTATTGATTGTGGATAACTCACTTTCTAAAAATTATTTGAAATGTAATAGGGGATCAGATCATTTCTTTACTGTATATTTATGGCAATGTTGTTAAACTCAACAATTCTGGAACATGATTTATTTATAATGAAACGTATTTTAAAGGTTAGATTCTTTCTTCACTGAATCATATATTCTTTTAAAGATCTTTATGCAGAATTCTGCTATCTTAATTATAATGCAGAGGCTGTTTTATTTATTTAAAGTTCCTATGGCTCACTCATCCTAAGAAACACAATTCAGTTTACAATTGAGCAGTATAAAAGCAAACTGTTGTGGCCCACAAGCGGCCAGCAGAGCTGGTGGCAGACTCGGATAGTTGGGGAGGAACATGGGCCAGTCCTGGAGTCTGGGGAAGGCTCTAACGAGTGCTCTGCATCAGAGGGAGAGATGGAGCCAGGGCTGTCTGACAGTTATCAGTTGCCTTCAGAGTTGGAGATCAGTGAGGCAGAAGAACAGCCAGAGCCTGTTCCCAGTGTGCACATGCACAGAACTGTCAGAAGAAGGGAACAGTTAAGGAACAAGGGTTGACTTGGGAGTAAAGGCTCAGATGGACAGTGAATGGTCCCTCCCATAGGGAATAAAGGGGAGCAAAAGGGGAGTGGTGTTTGCAGAAGACAATCAGTTCAATTCATTAGGGTGAAGATCTGTGAAGACTTCTTGCCA